GCAAGACGTTTCGTCTTGCGAAGCAAGCCCATAGGGAAATTCGTCTTGCGGAACGACTCAAAAAACGCAAAACCCTTTCGTCTAGCAAGTTTTTTGTCTTGCGAGGCATTCGTCTTGCGGGGCACCACTGTAATTTTAAACTGTTTTTCATATTGCATTTTTAAATGGCTGCAAACTGCCCCTTGTGATGAAGGGTGGGTAAGAAATTGAAATAACAACAACAGCTCTGATAATAACTATTGCATGCAAGGGTGAAGAATAGAGAAACACATCTGAGTGTGATTAGAAACTATCCTACTGTGGAAAGGTAAATCTTTCATTTCTTGCTCTGCCCATTTTTGCCTCTGGCTTCACCCACCAACGGCATATGTCCCCGAGACAGGGACACATTCCTCAGAGTGAAAATATCCCCCAACCCAGGTCTGTCGGGCTCAGAGGGGCTTCTCTGTGTCCCTTTGCATCACCGTACTTCGGACATTAGAGCAGAAAACCCATTTCATTCATGCATGCATTCATGCTCCGACTTGTTCCCTGATGGGACTCAAGGCACCTTACAAAGAAAAACAAGAACCACTAAAACATAGAGAGGGGAAAAATCATTAGAAAGCAATTAAACATTGATAGCAGTAAGATTATATACATATATAAAATTTATTAAAACCATGCAAACCGTTGCCATAAAAACAGCATAGCACAAGTCCTTTCATTAATTGCAGTTAGTTCCCAAAAGCCTGTTGGAACAAGGAAATCTTCACTTGCCACCAGGAGGAGAACAAGGAGGGAGCCAGTCCAGCTTCTCTAGGGAGGGAGCTCCAAAGTCTGGGAGCCACCACTGAGAAGGCCCTGTCCTGCATCCCCACCAAGTGTGCTGGTTAGCGTGGTGGGAGTGAGAGAACTGCCCCCCCCCCAATATTTCTGCGGTCTTTCCATTTTAAGCCTGGAATGACAAAATGCACTGTGCAACAGGTGGGTGGCTGCGATTTCTCTCTCTTTTTCCTTAAGCCTTCTGGGTCTTCCTGCACAGCTTGTCATAAGCAGCGTTGCTTTGTGTCCAGCGCTGGGGAGGAAAAACATGAATATTTTTGGGGAGGCAGCTGAAAACACAAGCGAAGACGGAAGTGTTAATTAGGCTCCTGTGTGATCAGCAGAGGAGCTAAAGAGCATTAAGGGTTTATGGGTGCTTAGTGCTTGGACTGATGTAAGACAGCTTAAAAGTGAGGGGGGGAAATAAGTTGAATATATATATATTCAAGCAAAAAATACTGGGTCACATCCAATGCCCACAATCTATGGGCATAGATTTTCACACTTGTTCAATAAAATGTCCCCACAACCTCCACAGTTTTGCTCTGGAGAGTTGGAGGGAAACACGGAATATATTTAAGGAGCACAGGACAGGATTGAGGGTAGATAAAACTAGAATAAAAAGACCTTTAATGGATCAGGCCACAGGGCCACCTAGTCCCTCATCCTGTTCTTACAGTCAGCTTGTCTGCCCCCCCCCAAAAAAAAGATTATTGGTTTATATTCTGCAGCGGTCAGTTACACAGTTAATTTTCTGACCTGAGCTGAGTCAAGTAAGTGGAGCCCACTGCTGGTCAATGGCAATAGACAGAATGAGGGACACAATAGGTGTTTCATGGCACTTCCTTCTAAGTTTATAGCATGCCTGTTGGTCAACTTCAGCAGTAGAACAGTAGAAGGGAAGGAGAAATACAGTTCATGGAATAGTGACAAATTATAGAGAGAGGGAGAAGACAAGGGTGTATGGAAAGAACTGGGTGGGGGGGACTAGTGAGGGGTGGAGAACAAAAGCTACCCACTTTTAGCCTGTGATCATTTAGCATACCCTCCAACAGTTCTCCAGTGAAAATAGGGACGTCCTATTCCATCACCATCATTTTATTATTTATTGCCCCAGCCACTCTGGGCCACTTCCAACTTGTATAAAAACATAATAAATCATTAAACATATTTAAAAAGCCCCCCCTATACAGTGGTACCTTGGGTTACAGACACTTCAGGTTACAGATGCTTCAGGTTACAGACTCCACTAACCCAGAAATAGTACCTCAGGTTAAGAACTTTGCTTCAGGATGAGAACAGAAATCGAATGGCGGTGGCGCAGCGGCAGCGGGAGGCCCCATTAGCTAAAGTGGTACCTCAGATTAAGAACAGTTTCAGGTTAAGAACGGACCTCTGGAATGAATTAAGTTCTTAACATGAGGTACCACACCTTCAGGTGACTTCTAAAGGTTGTATAGGTCCTTGGCTTGGGGGCCACATAATTCCATACCCTTCAACATTTCTCCGATGGAAGTTGTTGTTGTTGTTTAGTCGTTTAGTCGTGTCCGACTCCTCTTCGTGACCCCATGGACCAGAGCACCCCAGGCACTCCTGTCTTCCACTGCCTCCCGCAGTTTGGTCAAGCTCATGCTGGTAGCTTTGAGAACACTGTCCAACCATCTCGTCCTCTGTCGTTCCCTTCTCCTTCTGCCCTCAATCTTTCCCAGCATCAGGGTCTTCTCTTCTCATGAGGTGGCCAAAGTATTGGAGCCTCAGCTTCACAATCTGTCCTTCCAGTGAGCACTCGGGGCTGATTTCCTTCAGAATGGATAGGTTGGATCTTCTTGCAGTCCATGGGATTCTCAAGAGTCTCCTCCAGCACCATAATTCAAAAGCATCAATTCTTCGGTGATCAGCCAAAATAGGGATGCCTTAAGGCAGCCTTTCTCAACCTGTGGGTCCCCAGATGTTGCTGAACTACAACTCCCATCACCCCTAGCTAGCAAGGCCAGAGCTCAGGGATGATGGGAGCTGTAGTTCAACAACATCTGGGGACCCACAGGTTGAGAACCGCTGTCTTAAGGGATGCCTTAAGGAAAAGCAGGACATTTCAGAATCAGTTCAGAAACAGAAACTGGGGTGGCATGTGTAAATATGGGGCTGTCCCTGGAAAACAGGGAACCTGGAGTCCCTTGGCAGGTCTGCATTCAGTAGCTTTCAGTTTTCTGAAACTTTTCTGTCTATCTAGCACCTTGTTTTTCTATAAAAGAAACCAGCACTCCAGATTCCACCCAGTGGGCAGATCCTATGATATGTGTGATAGGTTCACAACAGAGGAGACCTTGTGCCCGACTGTAACCTGCCTGATGCTATTTTTCGGCTTGGTTGTTGTTTAAGGGAGCCTTGTACGGAAGCAGGGATTGTCACAAAGAAAGCTATCATTTGGGTGGGGGGGGAAATCAAATCTACAAGGCATTCTTCCTTGGTCGCAGTGGCGGGTGGTGGCAGTGGGCAGGCGGCTTGTTGGGTTGCGGGGGAGAGGAAGGGGCACGGGATGTCAGTTCGCTTTATCACTGCCTGAGCTCACGCCTTGTCATGCAGGACTTGCTGTGAATCTCAACAGAGGCTGCCCTTAATAACTTCACACAAGCACCGCATTGCTAGTGACTTTAGAGACGGATGACAGCAAGCAAGGAATTATAATGAGTTGCTGCAAATGTCTCCTTCACACAAATTAGTTATTTTCCTCGGATTCTTGCTAGATTTTGCAACATCCCTTTGTGTGTATGTGTGTGTGTTGAGGGCAAAGAGAGAGAAGAGGAAAATCTCCTTCCCCGCTTCCATCGTTTTCTCCCTGTTTTAATTACCACGCCTTCTTTCACTTTAAATTAATTTTCCTACTGAGGACTAAAAGGATTCATTTAGGAACCTGTGTTCTCTCCACTCAAAGAAAGAAGAAGAATTGGAAGAGGTCTTGATTTGGAGAAAGGGCTGATACTCATTGGTCGAGCACTGCCCTTGCATACAAACGGTCCTGGGTTCAATTGCCAAAATCTCCAGGTTGGGCTGAGAACCTCCCCTGCCTGAAATGTGGGGTTGCCAATGCCAGTCAGTGTATCCAACACTGAGCTAAATGGTGCCCAGTATGTGCGGCCCAGCAGGAATATAAACTCTTGGATTTGATAAATGAACTTGGAAAAAATCAGACTTGGAAAGATAAAATCTGGTTTGGTTTGGAAATGGGGGGTTGGATAGACCCCCCTTTACAGGGAGATTTGGACTTTTCAAGTCTGGAAAGGGGCCGTCAGATGTTTGGAGCTGTGGGGGCTCTCAATTTTGAAGGGAATCTGGAGCATGCTCTTGTAAATACTACATCGAACCTATCCTGGACTATGGAAAAGGGATCGTCTTGCTGAAAAACACTACCAAGCTGGAGTTCCCACGAATAAAAGGGAAATATAAAGAAGAGTTATGAAAGGGACATGGAAGAGACTTGAGGGCCTCGGATATAAGATTGCCAGGTTAATGTGCTAGATTAATAGGATAAAAAGGACTGACAAAACCCGGGACCAGGAGGAAGGGACGTTGGATGAAGACTGGATTGCTTTTTCTTTTATTCTTATCATTAGGACTGTTTTATAAAATTGATGAATGTTAGGAAAATGTTGAAATGAAACTATTTGGCTCTTATAAAAATGTCTAAAGAACTAGGTAAGAATGTTATGGTTTAGGAGAAGTTGGTAAAAATTAAGATTTAAGTTTTAAACTTTAAGGTTTTCTATAAGATAAGATGAAAATAGATCAAGGTAATGTGATGACAGAATACTATGAATTATGGAAAGGATTTGCTGTGATTATTATAAAACAGGATACAGGAAAAGGGAGGAGGAGGAGGTCAAGGAAAGAAGGTATTGAAAGTGGAGAATTGGAGAATGATGGCTTTATTTTATTTTATTTTTATTATTTTTTTTCTGTCTTGTTTTTTCTTTTGTGTAATTTTTTAAAAAAAACTCTTTTTCCAATAAATATCATTTAAAATAAATAAATAAATGGTGCCCAGTATGGAACGGGGGAGTAACAAGATAGAGTGAGATGGTTGCCCCTCCCAACTTTGTGGTTCTGGCCACGCCCACTGTTGGTGCTGGCCCCACCCACTGTGGTATGAGGCACCCAATAGATTACTAGTAAAGGTAGCAGAAGGAGGGGGAGGCACTGCAGAACTGGATAGCTCAGTTGCTTAGGGAGTGGTGCTGACGATGCAAAGGTTGCAGGTTTGATCCCTGCATGGGACAGCTGCATATTCTTGCATTGCAGGGGGGTCGACTAGATGATCCTCAAGGTCTCTCCCAACTCTAGAATTCTATCATTATCAAAGACCCAGTATTTTCTTTAAAAAAAAAAAAAGGAATATTCGAACTATAGAATGGTAGGGTTGGAAGGGGCACGAGCTGGAGGCAAGAGGCTAGATCAGCTGTGAAGCAGGCTTCCTTAAACTGCCCACATCGCAGCTGATCAAGCCCCTCCCCCACAGGGTGGGGGGCTTCATTAGACTGCTCCACTGAGGCACAGTCAGCTACCCCCTGCCTCAGTTGAACAGTTTAAAGAAACTGCCTGCCGATGGTATGAGGGCAGGAGGGACTCAGGAGCGGCTGAGGTTTCACAGGCGATATACCTCTGGATCAGCAAACTTTTTCAGCAGGGGGCTAGTCCACTGTCCCTCAGACCTTGTGGGGGGGGGCGGACTATATTTTGAAGGAAAAAAAAATATGAATGAATTCCTGTGCCCCACAAATAACCCAGAGCTGCATTTTAAATAAAAGGACACATTCTACTCATGTAAAAACACCAGGCAGGCCCCACAAATAACCCAGAAATGCATTTTAAAATAAGGACACATTCTACTCATGTAAAAACACGCTGATTCCTGGACCGTCCACAGGCTGGATTCAGAAGGCGATTGGGCCGGATCCGGCCCCTGGGCCTTAGTTTGCCTACCCATGCTCTGCGTGAAGCAGCCATCATGGTCTTGCCCTCATAACAGTCCTGGGTGATGTATAAATACCTGCTTGGTCACTGTGTGAAGAGGACGCTGAACCACCATCCTCTTGGGCCTGATCCAGAGGGACACGCATGTCCTTACGTTTCTTACTAAGAAAAGAACCCCCTGAATTCTGCGGACGTAATTTCGGATGCTCCCCAAAGTTAATTTGAATTTGAAGAATTAAAAGCCAGTGGCACTTCAGAGTTCGGGGCATTAAAGGCCAAAGTTACACTCGGTTGTTCTGTTTTCTGTTGCACAATGTGATGGAAGTGGTGATGACACTGATAAGGCAACGCTTCTCTCGGCTTCCGTCCTGCCCCGTCGTGGAGCAGATAAACACCGTCGCCATGGCAAAAGTGTTTGCTCTGTCTCCCTTATTTACTTTCTTCCTTTTATTTCACTTCAGGGGACTTAGGTTGGAATTGACATTTCTTTCCTCTCCGCCACTCTCTGCGCTGGGTCTCTGAGCGCTCAGTTAAGCCAGACAGTGGAATGGTCCAGCCACAAATAGACGGTTGATAAATTGGGCAGATAACACAGCAGCGGTCTGGTTTACCCCAGCACGCACGGTAATAAAAAGGATCTTCCGCCTCGGAAAGGTCACCATATTGACAAGGGGAATGATCGCCGAGATGTCTTTTTGCCAGACGCCTGTCACTGAGCAACACTTACTGGGTCTGAAACAATTCTTCGGAAGTAGTTACAGTTTGGTTTGTCTTCCCACCAAGAGAGAGAAAAGGGAGAGGAAAGAAATTGGGTGGGTTATGGCAATGGAGCTCCCAAATTCTTCACTAAATATGTCCCCATATGCTTAGTGGATGCATTGTGCAGCTCATAGGTGCATGAGCAACACAGCAGTAATAGTAGCAGCAGCAGCAAGAAAGACGCAATAGTTGGTGTGTTGGATTGGGACATGTAGATATGGGGTCAAACTCCAAATGAGCCTTGATGCTCACAGCTGAACCTACCCTACAGGGATGTTGTGTGCATAAAATGGAGATAAAGAGCACTTTGTATGTTGTTTGGAGGAAAGGTGGGATATAAATGCAATATTATTGTTATTATTGTTATTGGATTGCTTTTGTTTTTATTTTGATTTTGATTGTGTAGGTTGTGTTTTTATATTGTAATTTTACCTTGTGAACCACCCTGAGACCTGCAGGTATAGGACGGCATATTATGTATACAGTCATACCTCATGTTATGTTTGCTTCATGTTATGTTCTTTCAGGTTATGTCCCGCGGCGACCCGGAAGTACCGGAAAGGGTTACTTCTGGGTTTCGCTGCTCGCGCATGGGCAGAAGCGCTAAATTGCGCCACACACCTGCGCAGATACGGCACTTCAGGATACGCTCTTTTCATGTTGTGAACGGGCCTCTGAACTGATCCTGTTCGCAACCAGAGGTACCACTGTACAGTGGTACCTCTGGTTAAGAACTTAGTTCATTCCGGAGGTCCGTTCTTAACCTGAAGCCATTCTTAACCTGAGGTACCACTTTAGCTAATGGGGCCTCCCGCTGCCACCACACCGCCGCCATGCGATTTCTGTTCTCATCCTGTAACTCTTTTTAAAAAAGAGATTAATCTGGCATGACTTATTTAAACTAATCAAGGCAGGGCTTGGTCTATATTAATCCAAATACTTTAGTGAAGAACAGCAGCAGCAACAACAACAAACAATGGCCATGTTTTACATAAAAGTATTCTGATTAATGGGACGTGGGTGGCTCTGTGGTCTTGACAGGGTGAGTTTTCGTTACTCGGTCCCTGCTCCTGCCAACCTAGCAGTTCAAAAGCACGTCAAAGTGCAAGTAGATAAATAGATATCGCTCCAGCAGGGAGGTAAACGGCTTTTCTGTGTGCTGCTCTGGTTCGCCAGAAGCGGCTTAGTCATGCTGGCCACATGACCCGGTAGCTGTACACGACTCCCTCGGCCAATAAAGTGAGATGAGCGCCGCAACCCCAGAGTCGGCCACGACTGGACCTAATGGTCAGGGATACCTTTACCTTTACCTTTATTCTGATTAATAAAGGCAGTCCTTGCTCTGTCTAGCTTACAGTGTAGTTAGGGAATAGTAGCACTAGTAACTAAATTTTAGGCTTGTCAGATCAGGGATCTTTTTTTATCAATGTGAATGTCTTTTATGTAAAACATGGGTGCTGTTGCTAATATTACTACTGCAAACAATCATCATCGTACTCTACATTGTAAGCTAGTCAGGGCAGGGACCTTCTCCAACATGTGCTAATGGCACTGTATCAACCTGCTGATAGTGATGGTTTTTTTACCCACAAATTGCCGTTGTTTCCATGGGTCCTCTTCTTCCTTCTGCCTCTCCTGCCCTGTGTTGTCTCCTCCTCCTCGTACACAAGCTATAAATTGCATTGCCATCTCACTGGGGCAAGAGCTTATCTTGCCCTGCTGATGCCATGCAAATGGTCAGGTCTCTCACTCCTGAACCCTGCAGTTCAGCTGGTCAGCATCCACGATGGCCTGGTGAAATATGCCTCTCCCACTGGGGAAGTAGCAGGGATTTGAACCATTATTGTCCTAATTGGGTTTTAATACACATTCCGACCAGTGATTATAGCTATGCGCCAGAAGTGGCTTAAGACGAAGGGCAGTCGCAGTCTCTCTCTCTCTCTCTCTCTCTCTCTCTCTCTCTCTCTCTCGTGTTTAGAATCCTGGCACATTTATCTTAATAACTTTTATTACAGCCTGCCAGTTTAAACCTAATGACTAATTTATCGTCTAAAATACCAGATATATATATATATATATATATATATATATATATATATATATAGCTAATTAATTATCTCAAACAAAGGTGATATTTATAAAACTGTCCAGAAATGGTATGTGCGGTAAAATTGGCTTGCAGCAGGAGATGAAATTATTACTAATATGGGATAAAATTATTACTGTATTGACTTAGTTACTTTATTACTTGGTAATGGATTTCTTCATTATTTTTCCCCAGGATTGTCGCATTCATGATTGCATTAAAGTCTGTTAATCTATGCAAATATCATTAGGAACCGCTAATAACCGCATCGACATTCCTCCGTTTCGAGGAAAAGGCTAAATACTCTCGGTGTGCATTGTTATGTTCTGTTAGTGTGATGGGATTAACTCAGGCTCGAAATTGGCGGGACACCGGGCGAGTAGGAGGTGTGAAGGAGGATGCTCTGCACTTAAATGAAAGAGTCTTGCTATGAAAGCCATTCCTTGATTCTGTCCTCTACCAGAACCTTTGTGTGACCAATGCCAAATTCACACCATATATTTAAAGCACTATGATACCACCTTATACAGCCATGGCTACCTGCAAAGGTTTAACAACCATCACCCTCTTCACAGTGAACTCTGAGGACTGTAGAACAGCGTTCCTGTTGAGATATGACAGGTGCCCACTATTTGAACTTTCCAGAAGCAATTGATGACATTTTTGTTTCAACAAGCTTTGCATGAAAAGTCCTCTGCTATAAGGATAAGGCAGTCCCTCCAGTAACATAGTCCTGACCTGTAAACATGGTATTTCATGGTGGGATGGCTTATCTTCTTCCGTTGAGCTCAGTTCCTTGACTTGTTGTTGTTCTTGTTTAGTCGTTTAGTCGTGTCCGCCTCTTCGTGACCCCATGGACCAGAGCACACCAGGCACTCCTGTCTTCCACTGCCTCCCGCAGTTTGGTCAAACTCATGCTGGTAGCTTCGACAACACTGTCCCACCATCTCGTCCTCTGTCGTCCCCTTCTCCTTGTGCCCTCCATCTTTCCCAACATCAGGGTCTTTTCCAGGGAGTCTTCTCTTCTCATGAGGTGGCCAAAGTATTGGAGCCTCAGATTCATGATCTGTCCTTCCAGTGAGCACTCAGGGCTGATTTCCGTCAGAATGTAGAGGTTTGATCTTCTTGCAGTCCATGGGACTCTCAAGAGTCTCCTCCTCAAGTAGTTCCTTGACTACTCAATAGTAAAGATTGTGGCAAGAGTACTGGACGGAGCAGAGAGGTTGATTGCTTCTGAATCTTGGAGAAGCAAGACAGAACCTGCAGGTGCCCAGAGTGAAAAGGAGGTGCAAGCTAGCCTCCTTGAGCTACCATAGCTCTGCTAGCTGTGAGATTTGGGGTGACTGAAATCCCAGGAGTCTCTCTATAGTCACTAGTGCACTTTTATCAAAGAAAGTTGAGCCTCCGTTTGCCTTCTGTGTGAGAATGGGGGTCACCTTGTTGTCAACTGCTAGTTACAGTGATGGA